GATATTTACATTAGGATTCATAACAGTAGCAAAATTACAGTTATGAAGTAGCAACGAAATAATTTTATGGTTGGGGGTTACCACAACATGAGGAACTGTATTAAATGGTTGTGGCATTAGGAAGGTTGAGAACCACTGCTCTAAGGCTTCAGAGGGGAGAAGGGTTACTTGCAGATAGATAAGAAGAGCAGATGTTCAGTAATTAGAGGTTTTCCCTGGTCATAAAAACTATTTCTGGTAATAACTCTTACAATGGGCAAGGGCTCTAATTTAAATTCTTCAAAGGAGAACCTACAGGGTCTCACTTGATTGCCTTCAGCTCAAAATAATCCACATGCCAAGCAGCACGTTTTGGGAGGCCTGTTCTGAACCCCTTCAAAAGAGAGCATTTTTTATTTGGTAGATAACACTACTGTTTATTTCCAGGTATATTCTTCTCTGTTCTTAGGTGTGCAGAGGATTACATTCATTCTGACCTTAAAGTTGGGCACAGGTATTTTGACTACTTTGGGCTCATGAAACGTGAGTGAAAGTAACCTGTGAATATCTAGGCCATAACATTTTGCTGCCAGTGGTAAACACCCTAGTCCTCTCTTTGTCTGCTGTAGTGAATGAACCTGAGCCTCATTTTGAGGTGTGAGCATGAGAAAATGGTGGAGTTTCCATTAGTCTACCAGCCCATGATGGATACATAGCACAAACAAAAATAAATCTTTTGGTTTTTTAAGCCACTGGGATTCTAGGATTTACCCAAACGATGCCTAGCTTATCCTGACTGGTGTACTAGTAATTTGGTGTCATAAATATAGAGTATAATGACCCCAAGAAGCAAGCTTACATTGATGAGAAATAAATATTCCTGAATGGAATGTCAAACTTTAAAATCTGAATATTAACATTTTAATAGTGACATTGTAATAATAGTTTTAAAATTAGTAATACCTAATTTTAATATTTCATGGTGATTCTGGTATCTTAGAAGTTTATTATAAAATTAGGGGCCCAGTGCATGAATTCATGCACCTTGAAAGGAGCTGTGGGCTGTGAGACTGCAGTGGGCACAGGGGTGGGTCTCGGCCCATCCTCTGCGCCCCCACCCGGCCCCTCACGCCACAGCCCCTGGTCCCCTGTCTGCCAGCAGCCCCACTCTCACCACTGCCACTCGCACCCGCTGATAGCACAAAGCGATTTGGGCTGACACCATAAGTGGATGCAAGCTGGGCCTGTGCCATCAGCAGTTGCGAGCAGTGGCTGCTGCCCTGATTGCCTCTCAGGTGCAGGGGGAGGTGGAGAAGCCCTCAAGGGCATTTGGGGCCAGCAGCCACCACTAGCACCTGCTGACAGTGCTGAGTGATTGGGACCAGTGCTGGGCGCCGGCAGCGGGTGCGAGCTCCAGACGGGACCGTGGTGTGTGGGAGCAAAGAATTTTCAGTAACCACCAGAGGCTCACCCTGATGACAGTGACCAGCACCCCACCTTGGTCTGGCGCCCCTGCTCACCTGCTCCACCATCCTGCCATGGCCGACGCCCGCCATATTCCGCGCTCTGCCTCCTGCTGCTGACGCCCGCCATTCCACGTGTGCCCCTGGTGGTCAGCTCACATCATAGTGACCAGTTGTTCGGTTGTTCCACCATTCGGTCTATTTGCATATTAGGGTTTTATATATATAGATGGTGATAGTCTGCTTCATGCAAATATTGACTTTAACATGCAACTATTTTGTATTCAGCCAAAATGTATATTTGGTGCCCCTCTAAAAAATATTAACACATTAAGCGCCCAGTCACTCACCGATGACTGACACTATACTTTCCATCCGGAAGACAAAACAGGCTGGGTGCTTAACGTGTTAAACAAAATAATTTGAATAAAAGCTTGGTTATGTACCCTTTACTTGAAAGTTACTTGCCAGAAACCTGAAATGATTTGTAATTAGGTCACAAATTTAATCTAAGGGAGAATACCTTTATCTTCTGGAATTTAGGCATTTTTTATGCCATCTTGCATCCTCTATCTTGTCTCTTCTGCTGCCACCAGCTGGCTTCCACTACTGATAAATTCCAGAAACCAGCAGGATTCAATTCAATGTTTTGTTTTGACTGCTGGGTCCCTGATGAGAATACCAAGTCAGTTGAATAAGCAAATTTTTAGGTTTGGAACAGAAAAACACAATCAACTTATTTACTTCATATCTTGGGTAATCAGATAGCTACACAGCAGCTGGTACTTGTCCCAGCAAGTGGTCCAGACAAGGCTTCAGGCTAACAAAAGAGAAGACATTTCCATTCTTAAGTTAATATTCTTCTCCCAGGGAGTTATATAAGAGCAAAGGTCAGCTCAAATACAATCGTGCACCAGTAGTCTTAATGCAGTTTTAGGTTTTAATAACGTCAGAAGTACAAATTCTACAAACTTACACAAAACATCATTTGAAAGTAAAATTATTTCAATTCCCTTCATGCTTATTTGATCTTAACATTTTTTGAACAGTAAACGTATTTCAATTACTTTTTTCCAGTTAATATTTGTCATCCTCTATTAGGGGAGGTAAAAATTCTGAAATTTAAAATTATTCAAACTTCACAAAATGAGTAAGTGTAGAAGCAAGTGTAGAAGCAATTGAAGTAAACATTCAGGTGATGCTTTTTTGTAAGTATGTTTCATTTATACTTCTGAAATTATCAAAACCTAAAACTGCACTAAGACTTTTGGGACACCTGTATCTGGAAAACTGTGAAACCATAGGATGCTCGATTATAAACTCTTATAATTTACACCCAGCTATGTCTAAAATAATTTAAAACATTTTATAGTAACACATATACACACATGTATACAAGGAGCTGGATCATAAGGTTTCTCAAGATAGAGAGTTAAGATGCTAAATTATTAAAATTTTAGGAAAAATATGGACAGTGAGGCAAACTAGTAGCAATATCTGTAATATAGGTCTAGTATTACACTTTATTTTTCCTGTTGAGGATGCTTTGGAGGTGCATTTCTATTTGGGATATTTGTTCTTAAGACAGTATTATGTCCTCGATATTTGGGTATAAGTATTAGTTTTTTGGTTTTTTGTGGTTTTTTTTTGTTTTGCTTTGAGAGAGAGAGAGAGAGAGAAAGAGAGAGAGAGAGAGAGAGAGAGAGAGAGAGAGAGAGAGAGCCCTCTGGGCATAAAACCTGCAACCTTTTGCTATATGGTCAATGCTCCAATCAACTGAGCAACCTGGCCAGGGCAGGTATTAGTATTTTTATTGATGATGCTTTTCCAGAAAAGGTAGAACAAATAACTTCTAAAGGCTTGAACAGTAAGATAATGCAGGAAAACACTCCATAAATATTAGTTTTCCTTCCCATTAGAGATCATCTAGTTCAGTGGTTCTGTCTTGGCTGCACAGTGGAATGACCTAAGGAGCTTAAAAAAACACTAATGCTTGGGTCCCACGCTGAGATTCTGATTCAATTGCTCTAAGCTACATAACTTTAAAAAGAAATTTTAAATGGACAGTAATAGGAATAGATATGAAATAGTGGGATGAGATTTTTTTTTTCTAATGCCAAATTTAGGACCTATAGTGACAGGGCTTAACAACAGTTCCTGTGGGATTTAAAACAACAACAGCAACAATAACAACAACGAAAAACCTGACCTGGTTGGAGCATCATCCCATGCACCCAAAGGTGTTGGGTTCCATTCCCTGGCAAGGCACATACCCAGGTTTTGGATTCGATCCCCAGTCAGGGCATGTATGGGAGACAACCAATCAATGTGTCTTTCTCACACTGAAGTTTCTCTCTCTCCCTCCTTCTCTCTCTAAAAAATCAATAAAAACATATTCTTGGGTGAGGACTTGTTAAAAGTTTAATAACCTGTAGACTCAGGAAAACTGAGTAGATCTCCAAAATGGCTAAAACCACCACCTTTAGTATTATCTCCAGCTGAAGACAAAGGATATTGGGGTTTGGGAGGAGGCCAGTATGGGAGGTGACCAAGAAAAGCACAGTAAACAAGGATAAAGTGTTATGCAGGATTAAGGTGTTTGCCTTCTCCACTGTTAAAGTGTTCCTCCTACTCTTCCTGGTACAGAGAGGGCCACACCTTTGCAAATGAAGATTCTTTATAAATGTAAATATCTGTTACAAACGGGTAACTTCTAGTTGGTTTTCAGAGCTTTTGTTAAGTCTGTTTTTAATAACCAGTTTAAAACAATATGCCCAAAAGGCATATTTTGGGGTCTCAAATTCTCTGCTACAGCTCTCAAATACAGGGTTTGACAAAAGTAGGTTTGCAGTTGCGAGTATGTGAAATATAGTTTATTCTTGTATTGCTATTTATTGTTTTACTTATTTTTAAAATATATTTTTATTGATTTCAGAGAGGAAGGGAGAGGGAGAGAAACGTTAATGATGAGAATCATTGATCGGCTGCCTCCTGCACGCCCCACACTGGATATTGAGTCCCCAACGCAGGCATGTGCCCTGACGGGGAATTGAAGCCGGGACCCTTCAGTCCACAGGCTGACACTATTCACTGAGCCAAACCAGCTAGGGCAAGTGTTTTATTTTTTCATACAAACAACTGTAAACCTACTTTTGCCCCATCCTGTATTTTGAGCAAAATAAGCCAGACACAAGAGTGCCTATTGTATGATTCTATTTACTTAAAGAAGGGAGGAGGGGATTGACCAGGAAGGAAATTCCTGAGATGTAGATGTTCTTTATTTTTAGTAGGCTACACAAATAAAACTTATTAAAACTCAATGAAATGGACAGTTGACTTCTGTATTATTTCACTATATGTAAATGACACTTCAATAAAAAGAACAAATAAAAGTAATAACTTAAATCTGGATACCTATAACAAGGTCTGGGAGGTGGGGACGATTATTACTTCAGGTAACCCCAAACTAAAAAGCAACAGGAAACCCTAAACTGGAACCAGAGAGCATGAGCAGACAGCAGGGAGGGACAAAGCCTAAGAAATCACTAGAGGGCCGACAGCCGCCGCCGAACGGATGCCGGGACGTCAGCGCGCCAGTGTCCCACGAAAATAAGCCCCCGCCTCCCTTTTCCGGCGCGCATGCGTCGGTCCGTGTTTTACCGGAAAAGGCCGGTGGGAAACGGCGCCATCGCGAGAAAGGAGCCGGTGGCCGGCTTGTTCCTGTGCAGATGGTGTGGTTGTAGGCATCGCGCGTCCGGTTCATTGCACGGTCGCAGGGAGGAGGACGCCGGGGCTCGCCTGTCCTCCGCTGCCTCCGTCGCTGCCATGATTCCGGTGTCGCTGGTGGTGGTGGTGGTGGGCGGCTGGACTGCTGTCTACCTGACCGATTTGGTGCTGAAGGTGAGGGCCTCCGATCCACTGCCCAAGCCCGCGGTACCCTGCATTGGGGCGCATGGCCCGAGGCCTTTTCTCTTCTACCTCCCGTTTCCCGGTCTGGAAGCCGTGCGGCGGGTGTCCACGTGCGGCCTTTCGCGTGGTGCCGGGGCCCGTGGAGTACATTTTGGCGGGCCGCGCG